TTGTACTGACCTAACATCCTTTTAACTCCTTCATTTCAGTTGCATGTCCTGAGGGGTTGTGTAAATGTTTATGCACATTATTTACTTTAGGCATCTGAAAAGCTTTATAAAAATTAATTATACCAATGCAAAGGGTGCATCTTGGCAAACGTGATACATTCTTAAAGTCTGGGGCTTTGGAAGGAAGTGTTGTTACATTAGAGGTACAGTCACTTTCTGTGTGACCCTTCAGGCATGGCACTGAGTAGAAGGGTATGACTTTTCCATTCTATTTTTCCAGTCAGTGGAAAACATGTAGCAAGTGTAAGTATGCCTGTAAGTGTCCCACGGCCTATTCAGGAAACGTCCTTTATGAAACTTTACATGGGAGACCTTGTGCTATCCAATAATGGAGTCTCAGATTTTTGTGCCTGTTTCTCAACCATCTTCTTTTACACATGTGGAACTCACAGTGAAGTCTAAATGTTGAGGGAATCACAGAACCATAGAATGGTTTAGGTTGGAAAGGACCTTGAACATCATCGAGTTTCAACCCCCCTGCCATAGGCAGGGACACCTCCCACTAGACCAGGTTGCCCAAGGCCACATCCAGCCTGGCCTTCAACACCTCCAGGGATGGGGTCTCAATAACTTCTCTGGGCAACCCGTTCCAGTGCCTTACCACCCTCAAAGTGAAAAATTTCTTCTGAATGTTTAATCTAAACCTGCCCTCTTCCAGTTTATATCCATTCCCCCTCGTCCTGTCACTACATGCCCCAGTAAAAAGTCCTTCCCTAGCTCTCCTCTAGGCCCCCTTTAGGTATTGGAAGGCCGCAGTAAGATCCCCCCGGAGCCTTCTCTTCTTCAGGCTGACCAGCCCCAATTCTCTCAGCCTCTCATAAAATGAATAATGGCTTTGTTTTTACATTGTGGTTAAAACATGGTTCACAAAAATTCCCCTTAGCAACTTTTTTACATATGTGTCGTTCATTTTTTTTAGTCGCTGAAGCTAATTATTCATAACAAGGTAGAATGCTGAAGTTGGATAATAACACTAAGAGCAGATTATTTGTGGGAAGAAGGAAGCACAAATTCATATAATGCAACATATATCGCAACTATGCTATCATAAAATTTCCCATTACTGGTGTAGGTGCTAACTATCTCCAGGATAAACTGTAATATTAGAAAATCACATAGGACTCCATAAATGAAAACACCAAACAATAATGGAGTAAGAGGCACATGATGAGCTTTACTTTTGGGTTATGTCTGTGTTTAATTGTGTGCTGAGACAGTTTAATCTGAGCTGCAGCTCACTGTACTCTACAGCTTACCAAGGCTTGACTCAATCCTGATAAAGTTAAAAAGGCTGTTTCTACAAATTCTACTTATCTTTCAAGTTACAGTCAGCATCAGAAGACCTACTTTGGCCATTTTTGCTGTGGATTTCTGAGCTTCTCAGTCACAGATCTGATGGATTGTTATTGTAGTAGCCCAAATGAAGGTGGGTCTGAAAAAGGTTCTCCCACATAAAGTCCTCTTGGCAAGGATTGGTTAAAATTTTCCTGAAAGTGATCAAAAAATATTTGGTACGAAACCTGCATCAATACTGCTGTTTGTGTAAGTTTAAAAATAAATAAAAAAAACCCAGCAAAACCAACAGAAGGGTAAGGAGGAAAAGTTCACTGTGAAGAGGGGTGAATTCCTTTCTATTCTTCCCAGCCACCAGTCCTGCTATTTACCCCAGTTTTGGGTGAATCTTAATCTTGAGAGACAATTTCATTGCAAAAAAAGTGTTTGTAGGTAACATGCCAACCAACCACTGTGAGGCCAGCTTTGTAGTCTGATACCACAAAATCCTGACATGTCTGTACACCGGGAGGTGAGATCATTGTTTGGAAAATGTACTAGTCACATCACTGATGTGACTCTTGCAGCATTTGCTTTGCTCTGCGAGCCAGGTACGTAGAATTCCTGTGCTGTGTCTCCAGCAGAACCCTGCTGCTACCGGAACTGCTGTAACCGAAAGAAGTATTTTCCGACAAAAAAAAAAAAAAATCTTCTTGCCAATGTTTGTGCTTTATATTAGACTGTTAAGGCTAGATTTGCTCGAGAGAAACTTTTCTGGTTTTATTAAGCTTACACTGATGATCTAGTCAGTCTACTGTCCTTAGAAGGGATGTAAATAAGACAACTTATAACTGAGAACCTGTTGCACAGCCACTGAAATACCGTTGTCTGATACTAACATTGTTTTGCAGCTAAAGGCCCTCTCTCAATAGAGCCCTATGGAAGCAGTGGTTTCAGAAGCAGAGACAGACAGATGCCCTGTTATTGTTACTGAGATGATAATATCTTCCACTGAGGGATCAGGGGATGAGGGCTACATTGCAGCACTTCTTGGAATGGCCTAAGTAAAAAAAGGTCATACCGAGGAAAATGTGGACACATGTGACTTACCCATGCTATGTCCTAAAGAGCTGTAGAAACACGCAAAAAGCATTGGAGCTGCCTTTATTTTCTCTGAATGTCAAACTTGCTTTGATTTTGCATATGACTTCAAGAAAAACACTCTTTGTTACTTTCTTGCCTGAGAATGTGTGAAAATGCTATGGCATGGACACTTTTTAGTCCAGCGGCGTATGTGAAATGGTTTCAAAAAGTGTGGAAAGTGAGTCTGTAACCTGCAAAACATAGGGACTAGGATCCCTGGCAGTATGTGAAAATTGAAAAGATTGGCAACTTGTGACTGCTGCCTTATGCAGTTCTTCAGTCTTGACTTGCAGCTGCCTTTTATTATGCTGGCTCTTGGCACATTCTTTGCAGAACTACCAGCAGTGATCAGTTGCTCAGCAGTTTTGCAGAATTGCTTGGATGATCAGACCAAACATTTTCACTTGTGACCCAAGTCTGAATTTGAGCTTGGGCCCGTGGAGGTGAAGACCTTGTCTGTTAACTCCCAGCATTGCTTGCTATTGCCTTTGCCAGCAGGCTGCTCTATAAACAGCTGCTGTAGCACAAAAGGCCAAAGGGAAGTGCCTCAGTTTTGCCCTACTCCTTTCACACTTCCTAGTCACTGGAACATACCCAAGTGCGTGGTAAGCTACAGGTGGTCTCTCCAGTGTGGAACAGGCTGTACAGTTGTCTTTAACTGAAACATGAATCATCTCAGTCCTAAATTATTTTAATCCAATCAGACATCTGTGTTAAAGGGTGTAAAGAGACAGCAAAGCAGAAAGAATGGCTGCCAAGTAGAGGATACAGGACACAAATAAAGCTGCTAAAATGAGATGAAATATGAACTAATAATGATTTATTCCAAATGCCACTGGGGTTACAGTGTGAATCACTTAGGGAGATATTCAGGTAAAATGAATTTTGTAGGCTTTCCCCTGAATGATTTTTATAGTCTCGGTAGAGGTGAAGGAAAGGCAAAGCTGTCAGTTACAGAGGGAGTACACACAAGAGTTTTGAAATGCTCCCAAACAAATTGTCCCTAATGAATATGTGGTTTTCAAGCCTCTTCTAAGTAGACGAGCACAAACAGCTGTAGTTCTTTTTATAGGTACAAACTAATCTCTAGTACATGTTGGAGTTGAAGGATGTAGAGAACAATATGGTGTGGATTGGTAAGGCTTTTCTAGACATGGAAATATTCTTTTTATACCCTCAAAAAGTGGAAGGGAATGCAGAAGAGCGCAGAGTGTGGTCTTCTAGAATACTACTTGGGAACAAAATCATGACAGGAGCAAAGGGTCTAGCTCTTAAAGACACATAACATGGACTTCTTATTAACACATGAAACAGCATGTGTGAGTTTTGACCTATTTTCTTGAAAGGCTCAGCCTTTTGTAACCCCTATGAAACGGGCACCATTCACTAGCATTTGTTCCCAGTTTTCACTAGTGTGAATGGCCTTCACCACAAAGGATGGGAAGAATTCATGCTTCATGTTTTTAAATAATTTTAAAAGCCTAAGCAGTAAGTCATAATAAAATTCCTCAGACTTGATGAATATCTTTGAACATACTTCCTGTTTGAAGATGATGCATTTTCTCCCTTCTTTCTCCTTATTGCTAGCTGTATATATTATCAGTTTAATATTGTCCTCTGCCTGGGGACAATATCCGGTGTGGTAGGTGAACGGAGGAACTGTAATAGCTCCTTTCCATCTCCTTTCTATTAAAATGCCAAAGTGGGGATGGTGTGGATTCCACACATCTCTAGAACAACTATTTTTTGAGAACTAACCCTTCTTCTCCCAAGATTTACTTTAGAAAAGCACATCTAAAGGTAAACCACTTTGAAGTATTAGAAGGCAGATGTATTGACTTAGCCATAAGACATTTCAGTGTAAACATTGCTTTGAATTCTGCTTTCTTCCCATGAAACCTCCTAAAGGAAAGTCAGAAGTAGTTTCCTAATGCTTTCCTACAGCTCTGGGGAGGTTAGCTAAGAGTGGGTTAAACTGGTCTCGTAAGCGACTGTTTGAAAAAGAGGCTAAGTATGGAAAGGACTACAGCCTCGTCCTCAGTGTTATTTCTTTCTCTTCCCCAGAATCTCAGAAATTAAAATAAAGATTTGACACTTCAAATTACTGCTCAAGTGCATTGCCTTTCAATTGGATTGTAGAAGAAAATCAGGGAAAATGTGTCATTAATGAGGGAAGGGACCACTGTTGGTGTGATTAAGTTTTCATTTGGTTGAGGAAGTTCACAATAACAAAGAAACCATCTTCAGGAAGTAACGTACGTTTTTCCCCAAATCTCTCAGCTTTAGTACTGTGATAGCTTTGAAGTTAAACTACACTAAGTGAACAAAGGCCAGTTTTGAATTTCATACTTCCCTTTCCTCTCAAGTTAATCCTAGGAGGCTTGTAGGTGAGATCCATGCAGTGGTGGAATATACCTGAGCAGAGTAAAATCCAAGTGGAATAAATTGTTTCATGAGATGCATAAAGAAGAGAGAATAAAGTTACAATGTGACTCAGATCAAGAAGTGAACCACTGGAGAGAGTTTACTCCCCTTGCTTTTATCCATGCTTGTCTTGTGTTGTGTCTTTGTAGGAGCATCTCAGAACAATGTAGGAAGGTATTCTGGATTCAGCTGGTACACAGTTGTTCCAGAGTTATTGTTTAGGTGACATTCTGGCTTGCCCCACTCACTTAGCTGTTGGACTTCTTGTTCTGCTTGTGGCTCTTGATCTTAGGGTACAGGAAACCAGAGTTGTATCCAGAAGGCAGCTCTACTCCATGGACATTGCTGTATGTTATTGTAATGCTGGGTATCTGGGCTGCAGATGGTCCGTGGTGAGACTCTCCTTTTCTTTGTCCAATACCATTCAGGCTCTCACCTCTCTAAAAGATGCAAGGATTTAAAATAAATGGAAAACACAAACATCTACAAGGAGATCAGGTTGCATCATCTATGAAAAAAGTGTCAAAGTTAAGCACTTTGCTGATCCCCACAACTAACTCAAAACCAAGTGTAAGGGACAGAGGAAGAAGTAGATGTGAACATTTTTTGAATGTTTTGTGAGTAACTTATGAGAAAAAAAAAAACAAACATTAAACAAGTTGATGTAGTAAAGCCCAGACTTTGCATTTGCTACTTCGGAGCTGGTCTACTTTGATGAAAGACCAGACTAATAGCAGCCCATTCAACTATGAGCAAAAGTGCTGTGGATACACTCAGACAGTCTATGAATTCAATAAAGTAAGGAGTCCCTCTGTAAAGAGACTATTTAAGTTCATTGGGGCTAGAGGTGATGTAAAATGTAACATACATAGTTTGAAGGGGGAAGCAAACTAGAGAACGAAGTGAAAATGAGAAGTGAGGGAAAGATGAATTAGAATTTTTTGACAATAGCAATGTTAGTTGTCACTTGCACAGGACCAAAAAATAAGAGTGTTAGGATGAGGCTAGCAATAGCTCATAAGGATCACTACTAACAACAAAGACATAATTTAAGATGTTTATATTACATTGAGGTTAATACTGCAAAGATAAAACTGGCTTGTTTTCACCTGTCAACCCTTTTCTCTTATTTCCCTGTCTGTCAGGAATTAAGGCAAGTTGACTCGCTTGTGGCAGACGTCAAAAAAATTTTATCAGTATGTTGTAGCTTTGTTACATAGAAGAAGCAATAGACACTAGCATAACATCTTACTGAGTAGGTGATATGGCATGTTTCAAAAACTTACCTTGATTTCCTCCAAGTTGCATTTTTTACATGTTTGGTGCTACCCAAAACAGAGAATATTAAATAGTTAACAATGTCACTTTGTACAGCAGTACTTGCCACAAGACTATGGTTGTCTCAGGGGTACAGCCATCGGAATGGCTGTCTCAGCTTACTATGTATATTATTCATATGAAGATGGCATAAAATTAATGCTTACATGCTCCACTAAGGAAATCACAGACCTCATCAGGGGACCTACTGAATACAAGAAAATATTCAAGTTTCTTTACAAGTTGGATTTAAGGAGTACATGTGTTCTTCTGCTTAGTTTCAGCAACAATCTACCCTTTGCAGTCATGCTTTCTTGTATTGTGTGATTTTTGCATCTCAAAAAGTAACTTAATTTGTGCTCAGAAACTGGGATTGTCATTAGTTTTTGTTCCCTCAGTTAGTTAGATCCATGCCAAATATTAAAATAATAATTCTTACAGTAGGTGTAGCAGTGTACTCTGTGACATTTAATTCCACCATGGATATGTCATCAGCATCGACAGGTGTCTGAAAAATGAACACAGATAAGAAAGACATAAGGTATGTCACAATATTTTACGTACGTGAAATGCAAAGTATGGGAAACAGAAAAAAAGGGGAGACAGCAGAGGACTGACTGAAAAGTAGAGATATGCTAGAGATGATAGCTGTGTTTTACATCTTTCACCATATGTGTTCATTTGGTAGCAAATGGCGGGACAACAGAAAGATTGACCGAGTAATTTGGACAGTGAAATACAAATATTACTGAATACATACTTAAAACCAAACACAAGACAACATACCATTCAGATGCTTAGTTCACTAAAACAGCACCATTGCTTGTCAGAAATGCAACAAAGACAACTGAATAATGAACCAGGGTGGAAATAAAAAACTGATGACCTTTTACAGCCTCTAAGTCATTACTCATTGTGTTAATGCATAGGTTATCCCCATCTTCTTGGCAAGGACCTTCATGATTAATTATGGTAAAATGCGGAGATTTGTTAACCTACCAGCTGCAGAGAATTTAGACATTATGCAGTCTATTACCTTCTCACAAATCCCAGAATCATGACGCTCCAGTTTGGGTTTGGCTCTTCTGTTACTAGTTTGAGTTGTGTCTTTAACTGTTTCATAGGAAATCTGTCTGCTAGCAAGTCTGGAGAACATACTGGGGGAATCAGTTTCTGTGTCAGTACAGCCCTAAAATGAATGCAGCAAAAACAATCACTTTAGCTTCCTTAGACTTCAGTCCAATTTGCCCCATAAGAATCAGATTTACCTAGACAGAAATTGTAAAAGAGAGAGACATTGTATAAAAGACATTTCAAAAAAGTTATGCCATGTATGACAATAAAAATTTTGCTTGTAAGAGGTACAAACAAAACTATCGAGTCTGTTGAGTCTAAAATTCGGCTTACTTTTCTATGTTTTGTCCACAGGATGCACTGCAAAATTTCAAACAAAATAGTGTTTCTTTATTGTTGAAACTTCTCTGATGCTCCTCATAGCTCTGAGGAGACAGTATTTCCATAGTAGTACCCAATAAGGAAGTCTGGGTGTTTGGAGGAATTAGGGCCAAAGTTTCCAAAGTGGCTTGGGTGGAAGGAGAAATCAATAGAAGGAAACGTCTGGAGACTGCAGAATCAGTGCTTTCGAAACATTTTGTTCCATGAAGAAGCCCCGATTTTATAAACTTTGTTCCAATTAATGGGAAAACAAAAAAATAAAAAGAAACAAACCCCTAAGCCACCAGAATTTCCTAGAAGTCAAAAATTCTGTTTCTTTTCCTCACTGGCAGCCTTTTCACTGCAATGATGAGGAATCACAGAATTCCATAGATCATAATAAAACAACAAAACAGCTAATGGGGTTGTGATGAGCATCTCATGGCAAACCAGCCTATTCTGTCTTTGGCAGTGTACCTTGCCTTAAAATGGGGGAACGTAACAGTGCAATATACTTTCTTAAATTTTTTTCATGCAGCAAGGGTTTTGCATAAGCAATCTATGTGCTTTGGATGTTTTGATAAACTTTCCCCAGGGAAGAAAAGAAAAATAAGAGGTGTAGAAAAACATGAACTTCAATGAAACTGAAGAAATTGCCCTGATGGGTCTTTTGCTATTATAAGAGAATCCCAATTGGTAATGCTATACCAGAATTTCACTACATAAGAGATTGATTGCTCTTAAGTAGGATTGGGATCCCTTTTTTTCTGTGTAACTGTGGGGAAGGAACTGGGAAACACAGAAGAACGTTAAGGAAAAATTAATTTAAGTTGGAACGGTGACAATCAAGATTGTATTTTCAGAAGCAGTTTTCTAACTGTTGGGGAAGCAATGATGAAGATGAGTCTACAGAGTGATGCATCTCCAGACTGAAATGTCTCCATGGAAGATTTTTTAGAAGAGCTTAACAAAATATCCAGGAGGACAATCTAAACGTATGTTTTCCTGCT